TGATGTATATATGTTTGTGTTAGCGCTTCGAGCATACTTTGTTGCGTGGAGATTAGCGCATTATAAGACTTCTCATTATTATTATTATTATTATTATTATTATTATTATTATTATTATTATTATTATGCGTTTCTTTTTTTGAAGAGTGTATATGTGAATCCATGCCACATATACTGAGAACATATAAGAAAATGCGGAACAACTTAGTTATGGCCAGCTGTTCTATCTTGACCAACAGAGAGGACTGAGCTACAAGAACACTCTTCATACCATTGGAAAGCTTTGATGACATGGCTCTATATCACTTGATGACATGGCTTTATATCACTTAATGACATGGCTTTATATCACTTGATGACATGGCTCTATATCACTTATATCCCATTATGCATTAATAACGATTTGCCCACAAATCAGAAAATGCATGTCTGCAGACATTTTTGGCGGATTGTTTTTGCTACAGAAATTTCCGCAAGAATTATATTTTTCTTCCAGACATTTCTGTCTGAAATTCCTTTTTATTGCAGAAATATAACATATACAAAATATAACGGTTTTCACAGGTATCGCCTCTACATGTATATACATGTATTAATTCCTTCAGAAATATCACTCAATAGTAGTTTTGTAATAAAATGTCTACATTTGTGTTGAAACTTTAGACTCTGTGGTAAATCAATTATGCAGTCCATATGTCAGTATGAGAAATTCCTTTGACTGACAGGTGAAGGAATGAAATATAGATTTCAAAAAAAAAATTTCATACACTCACGTGGCTTGAAAACTAAATGAAACTGAAAAGGAAAAGCAGATAGTTGTCCTTTTACACTTGTATTACACATTACACAAAAAACACACTCTCGTAACAGCATTCAAGAACGGAGACATTCAACACTAACAAAATGCTTCTGGACATTCGAGAGTGCACTGACATTGAATATAAGGGTTACTGCTACTGGCCATTGTATTATCTTTATCGGAAAACTAGAGTGAGTGAGTTTAGATTTACGCCACAGTCAGCAATATTCCACCTATATGGCGACAGTCTGTAAATAATCGAGTCTGGACCAGACAATCCAGTGATCAACAGCATGAGCATCGATCTGCGCAATTGGGAACCGATGACATGTGTCAACCAAGTCAGCGAAACTGACCACCCGATCCCGTTAGTCGCCTCTTACGACAAGATAGTCGCCTTTTTATGGCAAGCACATGGGTTGCTGAAGACCTATTCTACCCCGGATCTTCACGGGTCTGTTGGTAAGTAAACGACGCCATATTGTTCATGAAGTATGAAATAAGGCATAATTAAATGAGCATCAAAATCGAAATCCTGAAAGTTTTATTTGCTCTATTTTAAAATCTCGAATCAGTGAGATTACAGCACGGTCATCAATGAATCGATGAAATATTATGAATGGACGTACGTAGTGATCTGAAAGTAGGTCCGACATCCAATGAAAATGTACAAATATACGATCAACCAATCAACGAACGACGAGGCGACGAACGGGGTCGGGTGGTCTGGCACACTGATTTGGTTGATCCATGTCATCGGTTCCCAGTTGCGTAGGTCGATGCTCATGCTGTTGATCACTGGATTGTCTGGTCCAGACTCGATTATTTACAGACCGCCGCCATATAGCTGGAATATTGCTGAGTGCGGCGTAAAACTTAACTCACTCACTCACTCACTTACCAACATGTTTTGTAACACGGCTACCCACTTAACTCCAATTAACGTCAATGACCTGGTCAAGACATGACATTGACAACTTTTTGGCTGCGAACGAAAACTGTTGTCGACTCGGACTAAATTTAGACAAGGTCAAGGACACTAACGCGAGCCAATTCTAGGTCACAGTTCGTTTCAGCAAAATGCTGCCAACATGTGTACCTTCTATCGCTAAAGCTCGGGACAGGGAACATTAATTTCACTCAGGACATATTTCCCGTAATCGCTTACCTTGTGGGTTATTCTCTAAATATCAGGCAGTTACCTTGTTCGAGGAATAATCCATCGCTATTCACAAGATCCCGTAAACCGTAAGCTGTGCAAAGAAACGTGTTCGATGTCACGTGTCTTTGTAACAATTAATCTAATATTTAAAACTAAATAGTTTCGGGATATTATATAACCCGTGTTTGTCTCTCAAGTTACTGATCATGTAAGTTTGTTACAGGTGATTCACGTCGGTGTCATGTCTCACTGGTCACGTGACATCTAGCACACGTGATATCCATCTTCATAATATCCCTGGAAAAGTAAGGGCTGTTACTGTTTTGAAGTTCATTCAGCGTATGAAATATGGCCCGTCCGACCGCCCGAGACGGTCTAGATTTCTGACGGACGGTCTAAATTTACAGCTAGCCAGCCCGATGGTCTGGTAAAAATTTTAGATGTTCCATACATCTGAGTAAATTCACCATATTTGGTCTGGTTAAATCCATTTTGGGCTGGTAACATTTTGAAGTTACAAGCCCTGATGTCTGGCTGGGGTTTTGGCTTATTTCATACACTGTTTCATTGTTGCAAAAATAACGAATATACGTAATTGCTGTATACTGAAATACATGATGGTACCTACACGTATGTAAATATCGAGGACGAAATGTTTCGATAAGCAGACTATAAGAATTCAAGCGGACTCCCCTGTTTGTCAACGTGGTCCTCCCAAGCTGGTCCGAACCCCAGTTTGTTGAGTCGCTGACTGTGTGTCCTTTAACTGTTGTATTGCAATTCCACAAGTAAATGTACTTGTATGTACTTGTGTACAAACCACAAACAAACGAGTCAGAATCAAGCTTTGTTTCAATATCTGAATGTGTAGAATGGGGCACAATGACTGAAGAAATGTTATAATTTCCATGGATGCAGTAACTACACCGACGAAGTCCTGGTATAAGTAAATTATCAAATAGTGAAATGACGTTTAAAACTTATAACACAGTATAATTTACGGGGCAGTGGGGTAGCCTAATGGTTAAAGCGTTGGCTCGTCACGCCGAAGACCCGGGTTCGAATCCCCACATGGGCTATATGCGTGAAGCCCATTTCTGGTGTCCCCCGTCGTGATGTTGCTGGAATATTGCTAAAAGCGGCGTAAAACCAAACTCAGTCAGTCAGTATAATTTACGAAGTCTGGACCACGTCAGTTGAACTGAATTTACCGTTGGAAATGTATATCATTAAAGTTACCTCTGCTGCGCATCGAAGATTCGGCAATGCAGACCATTGTTAATCAGGACGGGTTTATTGGGCTCGGTACCGTCCGGATTACCGAGGTTTCACTGTTCTCGGATTAGAAACTGTGGCGACAGAAAGTCTAGGAGTTTCCAGATAAGGCAATTATATCGGTCGACAACAGACAACACCGACTCCGGAGTGACATACCGATAGATATAATTAATGTTCGTGTATGTTTTGTTCTACCAAAAGGAAGCTCTCATTGATTTAATGAGCACACCACCATACGAATACTGGGGCTTTTTGCCGCCGTGAGTTGCGTCCCTTGCCTGTCCTATGATCCACTGCTTCATCTTGCGTTAATCAAGCCCATATCTGTGCTCGTGGGTTACAAGGAAGTGGTAGTGTCTGAGAGTTTCGCGCTGGATTCTCCCTATTCTTCTTAAGACCTGTGAGAAGAAATAAAAGGAGATCAGGTGGTATTTTGGCAGTGAAACAAAGTAATTTCAACTCTTGAGCAAAAACAGCAGCGTAAACAATTCAGCACGATACAGTGGTTGACAGTGGTTGACGGTGGTTGACTGGTTTCTCGTTCTAACAGCTTATCCTCACTTGTGTGCATGCCATCAATACACAATGCCATTTAGAAAGTGGACAAATGTAACATAAGTTATATTTGGGATTACACTTTTCATAGAATAGTCTTTACTTCTCTCTCCGGACCTGTAGTCTTTACGATTAGTACATAACATTACACCAAGGAAACTTGGGAATTTACACGAGCGTATATCGATACTTACTGATTATAGACTTGGGACGGAACATGTACACTCTTCAAAACAAGAAACGCACAAGCGTTTTCAGCAGATCATTTCGATACATTTGAGCAATCGTCATTAAGACAATTCCTATGTTTGAATCCCGCTAACCATGTCGTGGTTGTTGTGTTTTGCAAGCAAACGCATCACAGAAAGTGTTTGTAAACGTTTGTCATAAAAAATGAAAACGATACATGAAAAGTACATGCAGAAAATGTTTCCCACGTAATGCACGTGCAATGTGTCGGAAACATGGGTAGAGACATCAACTATAAAAGGCCAAACAAAATTCATCATTTCATCACGAAATTTACGACGTAAACGAAGATAACAAATGCCAAGATTGAATGCTACTGGCCGAAATATCGCCATTGGACGTTGGGAAGCAGGGGAGTCCCAGTCTGCCGATGGAATACACTTCACCGTCCAATACAGCACCATATCTCGATTATGGCATACCGCTTCAATTCGACCCAAGATCGTCCTAAAAGTGGAAGACCAAGCGTGACCCCTCCTGCTCAGAACCGATTCATCCGGGTGCTTCACCTACGTCACCGAGTTGCTACTGCAACGGACACTTCGGAACAGGTGCCTGGTCATTGATGAAGTTCCGACCAGACTATCTGAATTGGAAATTCGAGCATTTCGACCAAAAGTTGGACCTGTCCTGACACGACTACGCCGACAACGACGTGTCGAATGGCATAAAACCTGGGGAACTGGTCACGCGTTTGGTTCAGCGATGAATCGCGTTTCCTCCTGCAACGTGTCTATCTATGGGAGACAACGTGTCTATCGACGTCGACACGAACGTTTTGCTCCGAACTGCTTTCGACAGAAAGGACAGATAACTGCTTTCGACAGAAAGGACCGATGTGGTGGAGAGTACGTCAAGCTGTGGGTAGCCACTTCCTACACGGGTAGAACAGAACTAGTGGTGATTTAAGACAATCTTACAGCAAATCGGTACATCGACCAAATCCTGCTACCTAACCTCCTGCCACATTTTAACCACCAGAGGGAGCTGTTTCAACACGAGGAGTGCCACTGAGCTTGAAGATTCAGGACAATCTAGACTTGCTTCATTCAGAGCCTTATCACTGCAGGAAGGTTTTGGCTGAAGGGAAAATAATATGGTTCAGAGACTGTGAGAAAAGCTAATCGTATGTACGTTTCCCCTAATAAAGGAAACTGAATTCTTTGATACTTGGGGTAGGGTAGGGGGATGGGGGGGGCAATGGCAGTCAAGGGCTCTGACTGGCCTCCAGCGGAGACTTTACAAGTGGGGACCAGATGCGGAATTAACCCTCACGCTGAACCCTCATGCATTGAACACACAATGACTATTTCCATTTATAGGAGCACAGTATATATTCATCAGTATATTATTCTTCTTGTTCCACATAATGGACACAAAACGCATAGTGACCTAGTTCAAGATTGCTGACTAATGTATAAGACAATATACCACTATGTGAGGCATATGTGTCGACATCAGGCCATGTCCTTGTATGATTGGATCACACTAAACATTAGTCGGTTGGTGTGTACCCAAGTCAGTAAAAAGGTCACAGTCCCACCTGTCACTGACATCGGGAGCACTTCATAGAGGTGATAGTGGGACTGTCCCTGTTAGACTTCACTATATGTCAAATATTTTGGTTGCTGAACTTAGATATAATGTTTTTGTCCCCAACACGTCGACCGTGCGCTTCTCGTAAAGATATGAACAGCTGTGTCATAATTGATACGGAGAATAGGATAAAGTATTAGGCTTGGGATTAAAATAGGTCTTTACTGACCATACATGGGTAACGAACTACGGAGGGTAATTCATACATTTATACGTTTTTATGCAAAATGTTGTCTAACGCCGCACACAGTAATATTTAGGGTATATGTCCTCGGTCTGCAAATAATCGAATCAAAATCGGATAATCCAGTAACTGCCATCACAAACATCGATCTATGAAACTGGGATACATCGACATGGATAATCCATTGACATGGGTAATCCAAGACAGACCACATGTCCCGAGTTGTTAGTCTGTTGCTAGACTAAGGCTTAGTCTCTGAATATATATAATTTTGATAGTAACAAACAAGCCCATTTATATTGAAAAGGAGCCCTAGGGAGACCAGAGATTCAGAACCTGAACCTGAGGAAATCTAGACTTGACACGTTTAGGTTCTTTAGCACTGCAGAGAGGGCTGCTGGCAGATATGGAAATCTGGTCCAGGGACTGTGAGACAGACTAGTCTATTGCTGGAAGCATGGGCTGCTGAAACTAAACTCATCACTCACATTGTATTGACATGGATCGTCAGACCCACCGCATCTGGCTGTTGGTCGCTCGATACGACAAGCATGGGTTGAACCCATGAGGACTCTTCAGTAGGGGCATTTTCACGAGACAAAAAGTGTGTGTTTCAATGGTCATTTAATAAACTTGCAGGACAAAAGAGGGGTGTGAACCCCACCACCCCTACCCATGGATCCGCCCATGTTCACGGTGTCACCTGCAGGATATAATACCTAACAGTCTACCAGACATATCCGTCATGAAGGCTGCCTCACCAGTGTGCGATGTCGAAGGACAGAAATTAAACAGTACACACAGAGGTGTGTGTGTGTGTGTGTGTGTGTGTGCGTGCGTGCGTGCGCGCGCGGACGGGTGCGCACCCCCCTTTTGTCCTGAAAGTTATTAAGTGAACATTGAAACTCTCGTGAAAATGAGTGCGCACGCACGCACGCACGCGCACACGCACGCCCTTCTCAAGAGTGTGCACCCCACCTTTCTCAAAAAGCTGTATCCGCCCCTGGTACAGATGTTCACACGTGTAAACCATGCTGGGCCCAGTTGGTGTCGCTTATAGAAAGGCTGATCATTATACATTAAAAAGGCGCCCAATGTATTTTCTTAAGGTACCTTGTATATATGTATTTTATTGCATAAAACTATTTTCATCGGTCTGATTATATAACAAGCGTTGTTTCTAGGACAGATTGGGTTATTTTCACGTCCCAGCTCACTGGGGTTCCTTTTAAATTTCATTGGAGTAATTCTTTTCAAAAATAAATATTTCCAGAGACTTAGCGTCAGCCTACGTTAACCTGAGGAGTAGTATAATCGTGTCGCATTGGTATTTAGCAATAAATCTGAAAAGATATCTGAAAAAAAACAATAGATCTGTTTTTAATAAACAGATACATTGTGATTATTCGACAAAAGCCCAAATTAAAACAAATTCGTCGGTTATTGCAAATGATATTCATCAAAATACAAGCGATCATTTGATTGTTTTTATCAAGACTGCAACTGCTGTGGTGTGTAACTAAAATGCTTGAATTTATGTAACTAATTTATAATAAAGTGGTAGTCGACGAAGTGAAAATATGCTTACATCAGTTACTTGTTTGTTTTCAATGCAAGGCGAATTTTTCGCGTTTGGGTGTATTCAGGACATAAAGCCAACAAAGTAAACAACAGGCACGTGATGCAATCTGTAGAAAGGCTGGTCCCATGCTAACACGTTCTCTCGGGAAGCTCGCATTCTCGGAAACACAGCGAGATGATGAAACTGTAGATAGGGCATGCATACAACTAATAACGTCTTTAAGGTCAACCTCAAATAGTGTGTTCAAATAGATTGGGAAGAGATTCAAACCATCCGGTGAAATAAAGCAGTAATTGCGTTTTGCCAAGTGAAGTGTATGCGTGAATGTAGTATATCTTATTTAGAATGAGATATTGTGTATATTCCATTATATTTGGTGACCTGTCAATTAGTTTAGTTAGTCATAGCAGAGACCATATAATATCTATTATATGGTCTCTGGTCATAGAAAAAAGTAAATATATTTTTGCGTTTGAGCATGTGTGCCTGACTGATTACGAAACGAATGTCACACAATCCATGTGTTTCATCGGCAAGTGGGAAAGTAATGCATAAAAACTGACTTACATTATGCAAGAAATAAAATAAGTATGAAAAGACTTGAGAGTGTATTTATTTTTTATTTCCCATTCATTTTATTTCATTCAAGATCTCCTTCAGAAAAATGCGCCGATCACGACCGCTCTCTCTCTCTCTCTCTATCTCTCTCTCTCGAAAAATAAGGATTTCTAATAACTTTAACAATGACGCCATTTCCATTGTGGCGTCATCCCGACACTACCTTTTTTCGATACAATTGAAAAATGAATGACGTCGTCAATGCCGTCATGATGACGTAAACACTACACAAGTCCACGTGAAGTGATAATTGCACAAGTATATATACGATTTATATGAACATATTAATATGTAACCTTGTGTATAAATTATTACATTATTACACGAGTGTTAATATAACATTGTATGAAACGGATGTAAGACAGCCAGTGACACTAAACAACAACTTATATTGATTATGCTAACCGACAGCAACAGTCTCTTAATTAAATCAAATTGTAACTGAAAAAATGGTACCGGTGCACAAAATAATATTTGTCTCATTGACCGAGTTACTACCACTAAATAAGAAACCAAGGTCTTGGTCACAAATGTTGTTAGTTCTTAGGAAATCAGCCTCACTTTCTATATATAGATTCGAAGGCATGGAGGAATGGCGTTGTTTGATTGGCTGATCGATGTACAGTACCGGATCTGGTTCTTGGTGGTGTAAGTGAATGGTATAAACAGGTATACAATAACATTGTAGTACTCCATAAACGACTTGTCGTCTTGCAAAGCTAACACGTCAAGATGTCCAACGAGGTCAGCGGTATTCCTCACAGTGAAAATGACGAAATGAGAACTAAAAGTCTGTTGACCAGGTAACGTTTTAACAAGAAATTATTTATTTTCAGACCAGCTGAGCCGGCGTAATTTGACGTAGTTCAACTCCGGCAACCCGATTTTGGTCATCAACGTGAGAATTTGTGTAACCTGATCTGTTGAATAGTAATCGAGTCACAAGTTATTCCATTTTTGTTGTGTATTTTCCTGGTAGAAAATAACTGGCGTTTTACCTCGACTAAGAATTAACTATATTATAAAAGGGTGTCAGTTAGGATTTTTTTTTACACATACATGTATGTAGGTTGTGAGTCGTTTACGCTGGTTGGACGAACGATCGTTGTCATATTATGCCACGATGACTTGTTATCGCGATTGATACAAGTAGCGTCCAACTGCGTTGTTTTGCAAAACATATCAAAATGAAATATCTTTTAAATGTCATAGACGAGCATGTGTTTTATTGAGATATATTCTTGGTGACTTCAAAATGATTTTATTTCCACAGATTATCCCAAAAAAAATTTTTTAGTTCCATTTATATTTTAAATTTAAGGTGTCTTATGCTAAATGTGTGAATGCCTTATGCTAAATGTTTGAATGCCTTATGTTAAATGTGTTTTATGCTAAACGCTTATTCCGTATGTTCATTTTCTAAAAAATGAAAGCCCCTATTCAGTAGCCAAGAGCCGCGATGCGGTCCTATACAGTCAAGACATGTTTGGGGCGGTGGGGTAGCCTAGTGGTTAAAGCGTTGGCTCGTCACTCCGAAGACCCGGGTTCGATTCCCCACATGGGCACAATGTGTTAAGCCCATTTCTGGTGTCCCCCGCCGTGATATTGCTGGAATATTGCTAAAAGCGGCGTAAAACTAAACTCAGTCAGTCAAGACATGTCTTGACTGTGTCGTGTATAGGACCGCATCGCGGCTCTCGGCTATCTATTCAGATATTTCGTAATGTTATGGGTTTGAATGCCAAAATATGATCATGTCCACACTTGTGAAAATGTTGGTCATACCCATTATCATTGCATTCACCAAGTTTCAAGGCCTGAGATCAGGTGGTTTGTTGATGCAGCAGATCGATGCTCATGATGTCAATCACTGGATCATCTGGTCCACACTTGACAGACCACTGCACATAACTGTCATATTTCTTAGTACAGCTTTAAACAAAAATCAAAACATGGGATGAATTTGAACAGTCTACATCTTCACAGAACACACACTTTGTCATTAGCTGGAAATATATTTCAACACTCACAGCTAGGTCAGAAGAGGTCAGATAGGGTGGACTAGTTTTGTTTCATTCCTCCTGTGTTTATTGACACTGGGTGCCATTATACCCGAGGATGTTTGTCTGACAAAACCGATGTAGGAATACGTTTTCAAACCCTGTGAGAAATTTTAATATCCGCAGGATACTATTGCCAAAATTTAGGTTACTTGTTAATATTTCTATACATACAGCCCATTCTAGCATTGTCCAGTGCCGTTTGGAAACATTTTTATATAAATACTATTTTGTTTCTGTTTTCATGGTGACAAGTTGTATAGTGCTGAAAATTTTTGTTATGGTAATTTCCAGTGCATAGCTCCAAAACCATTAAATTCTTCTGGAGCAAACGGGGTGGTGGTGTAGCCTAGTGGTTAAAGCGTTCTTCGTCACACCTAAGACCCAGGTTTGATTCCCCACATGGGAAAAATGTGTGAAACCCAATTCTGGTGTGCCTGTCTTGATATTGCTGGAATGTTGCTAGAAGCAGCATTAATCCATCCTCACTCACTCACTCTTGAGGACACCTATTATGCATATCATTATAGTGCTGAACTGGTGCCTTTTGATTTGATTTAGAAAAAAAATTCAGAACAGAATCATTTACTTGTGTGTGCCTCCCCCTGCCCTCCCTTTTTTTTCACCCCCTCTCCCCACACCCAACCTAACCCATCACACCCCACCTCTCAAAGGATGTAAATACTTACTCAGATATACTCACTGCCAAAAGAAACGCAAATTGTGTGAAATGATGATACTGACAATGAGTGAAAATATGGCGGTTTTTTCTACTAACTTTACTTTCACAAAAGACAACGATAACTCGAAAGAAAGTATTTAGTGTGTTTATTCTCCATGTGACATGAAAATCTATTAAATCAATAGGAACCACATAACGCATGACTTTAAGAATTGTCCTTTATAGGGAAACAAATGTTAACATCAATCACGGGTGTGACCTAGTGTTGGGAATTGGATCATCGAAAATAATTGGTCAGCATCATTTATCAAATTTTTCTGGTTATGTTTGTTACTGCACAAAAAACAAAGAAAAAACATTTAGTTCTTATGAGTCTTTTTTGCAAATTCCACAAAATGCATGTGCAAATTTAACATCTTTAAAGGATGACTAGTATGTTAGGAACATAAATTTCCTGGACTCTTTAAGATAAATTCAATCCTGACTTGGAACGAGCTTGTAATGTTTGTGAAATGTAACAGACAAAACCAACCTTGTGAAAAATATTGTTAATGCAAACAAGTGTTCCATAATTGTTTGTGTTCGATTATGAGAAAACATGATCGATTACTTGGTCGTTCAGTCATTGCGACCGATCTTCGATTATTTCAATTAATCGGACCACCACTAGTGTGACCTCCATTGGCATCAGTGACAGCTGCACATCTGCTCCCCATTCTGTTGAAGAGACATCGAATGAACCTCCTGGGAATGTTGTTGTAAGCGTCAACAACACTCCGTTGTAGTTGTTGCAAGTTAACTGGATGTACTCGCTGTTGGTGAATTAGTCTTTCCATCTCATCCCAGAGGTGTTCGATGGGATTCAAATCCGGGCTTAGAGCTGGCCAATCCATGGTCTGGCTGTTGTTGTTCTGGAGAATGTCTGTGTCTTGCTGTGTGCGCTCTCGTGTTATCTTGCTGAAAAACAAGATGACTTCTTTGAGCAAAAGATGGATGAATTACTGGTCTCAACACTTCGTCGATGTAGCGCTGAGCAGTAACATCCCTTCCACAACCTTGCCCTTTGTTCTGAAAGATTACGTGTTGAACATGATGTCAGACGTCACCAGCTCATTGCCCCCCAAAACATAAAGGAAGGCCCTCCCCAGAGACCTCTCTCCAAAACACAGGGTTCTGAGGATCTTTGACCTTGACTCTGACATCTGCCGTATCATTACATAAGCGACTTTCATCTGAGAAGACAATGTTCTGCCACTGTCTGTTGCACCAGTTGCGATGGACTGCTGCCCAGTTCAGTCGAGCACGTCTATGTCGTGGTGTCAAACGTGAACAAACGTATGGTCGACGGCAACGTAAACCAGCTTGAGCGAGACGGCGACATACAGTATTGTCGCTGATGGGTCTGTTGTGTCTTCCCATGGTGTTTCTAGCTGTTATGGTAGCTGATATGAAGCAGTCACATGGTCACAATGTAGTGGTCTTGCCGGTATGACGTTACACGTGGACGTCCACTACGAGGGTGGTCAGCGACAGTGTTTATCTGCTGGTAGCGGTCAAGCAGTCTGGAGATGGTGGACTGATGTGTTCCATAATGCCTGGCGATGCGTTGGATGCTCTAACCTGCCAATATTCCCTATTGCTCTCTGACGTTCGTTTGCACTTAATCATGGCATGCTCTCTGTTGCATGAAAATGCGAATGCAGACGTTTAGCAGTATCCGTTCCTTACGTAGCATCGTAAGAGCAGGAACATCATGCAAAGAATGCAGTTCTAACTTCATGAATTATACATTGAGTTCACATATTAGTGATGTGTGACGTCACTTATGCTGCGTTTGTGGTAAACATTTTTCTTTTGCCATGGAAAACAGTATTCACGGAATATGTTACATATCAGAAACCTCTTCAACACTGTTGATTTACGTCACAGTACATATTGATGAATTTCGCGTTTCTTTTGGCGGGGAGTATATATTGTGTCATGTTTTCACATACAGTTTCAGTAACAGATATGCTTTATAGAATTGTCAACAATTCCCTTGTTTTGTCAGCGTTCATTTTTTATCATGCGCTATCACTGTTATTGTCATGACCCTGTTTGTATGCGTAGTACATGACTCTGATGTCTGGGATGTTCCTGCCCCAGGCTCGACCTCCTTTATCACACAAACTTTGACATGATGAGTGGTATATAAAAAAACAAAAACATTATTTGACAGTGATGGTGATGCAAAAAAGGGGATGATTTGTGTCGCATAATTTGAGTACTTTGTATTATTTAACTCTCTCACACCCATGGAATTAGATTCTTATTCACGTTAAGTTGTCAAGATTTTAAATCAGAATAGATTTCAAGTGAGAATAGGTCCACGAACAGGGATGTAGAAATATCAATTTTCTAAACTTGTCCCTCAACATATAAACAGTATATCACAGCCTGTGTGCAGACAAAGTCAGCTTGTCCAGATTACTTACCCAATTTGGCGATTTGTTCCTAAATATACATGCAAATCTATTTCCCATAATGAATGACAAAGTAGTCCCTTGCTCAGCCATAGTCTAACAATAACAGCGGTGAGGCAACCGGCCATGAATTCATAATTCGTTTGGCTGCTTGGTACATTGATCAGTTAATTAGTGATGTGTCCTGAACCATAATCATCCTATTTACAAGTTTAGCGTTGTGTACGATATTTACAGTATCAAGTAATCAAATCTGAACTTATTTACAAGTTTAGTGTTGTGTACGATATTTACAGTATCAAGTAATCAAATCTGAACTTATTTACAAGTTTAATGTTGTGTACGATATTTACAGTATCATGTAATCAAATCTGAACTTATTTACAAGTTTAATGTTGTGTACGATATTTACAGTATCAAGTAATCAAATCTGAACTTATTTACAAGTTTAATGTTGTGTACGATATTTACAGTATCATGTAATCAAATCTGAACTTATTTACAAGTTTAGTGTTGTGTACGATACTTACTGTATCGAGTATATTACCTGTAAGGGTACCTGTATGGTAACATTGGTTGGCATGTTTAATAAAGATGAC